TAAAGCTACTTTTAAGGTGCTCTGGTGGTACAGTGTTTAAAGCATTCAGCTGCTAACAAAAAGGTCTGCAGTTCCAACCCACCACATGCTCCAGGGGAGAAAGATGTGGCAATCTGCTTCTACAAAGATTTGCAGCCTTGGAAACCCTATAGGACAGTTCTACTCTGTCCTGTAGGGTTGCTATGAGTTGGAAGTGACTCGATAGCTCCCTACTTTAACTGTATTTTTAAAGTTAATGGCCTTACCATTGGTCCTTGTCTGTTGGCTAATAGAGCTTTTCTTGTATTGCCTGCCCTTTGACTTCAGCCAGCAGTATCTTAGCAAACTCTGCCAACATTGGTTATTAGAATTTTTAGAAAAGTTTTATGAATTTGAGAAATGGTATTTTATTGTTACTTTAATTTGCATTCTGTGGTTAAATCATGGGTTCATCACTCTTCCATGTGTTTATTAGCCACCCTTCTTACCGTTTCTCCATTTTTCTAGATGGGAATATTTTTTCTTCATTTATGAGAGATCTTTTTATAGTAAAGGTATTAATCCTCTGTCATATATTTTACAGATATTTCCTAACTTACTAAGTTTGTGTATGATGTCTTTTGACAGATATTTGATGTTTTTAGATAATTAAACCTATCAATTTATTGCTTTATATCTACTGTCTTTGATGTCATGCTTAGGGTAGTCCTTCTGTGATTTACACAGCACAGTGGATAAGAGCATGGACTATAGAATTAGACTGAAAAAACTTACTGTTATCAAGTCGATTCCAACTCATAGTGACCCCTTTGGGTTTCTGAGGCAGTAAATCTTTACGGAAATAGATTGCCCCATCTTCATTCCGTGGAGAGGCTGGTGGGTTTGAACTGCCAACCTGGATGACAAGTCAAATGCCTTAGGCACCGCACCACCAGAGAGCCTTAGAGTTACACTGTTCTTGTTACGTGCCCTTGAGTCAGCCCCGACTCATAGCAAACCCCTCCTTGGGTTTTTGAGGTGATATCACTACAGAAGTAGATTGCCCAACCTTCCTTCTGAGGAGTGGCTGGTGAATTTGAACCACCAGCCTTCTGGTTAGAAGTCAAGTGCCTTAGGCACTATACTACCAGAGCTCCTAGAGTTAGACTAGTTGAGTTCAAATTCTGATTCCGTTACTTATTAACTCTGTGACCTTAGGCCAGTTACTTAAACTCCATGTACTTCAGGTTCCTCATCTATAAAATAGGGATAAAAATAGTACAATATCTCTTAGAGTTGTTGTGGGGATGTAAGCAGTTAGAATATGGTCTGGAATACAGTACGCACAACATAAGTAGTAAATTGGAAGCATCCTTGCTCTTCCTTGATTCTTTCCCGTGCATCTTGGAATATTATCTTTGCCCTGGTGCCACAATGAGTAAGCATTCAGCTGCTAACCAAAAGTTTGTGTATTTGAACCCACCCAGTGACTCCATGGGAGCTCTGGTAGCATAGTGGCTAAGGCACTTGACTGCTAACCAGAAG